ATTTAGCGCCCCCCCCCCTTCCCTCCCCTTTTAAAGGGCGACAGCTGCCAGCTTTCAGCGCACGGGATTTATTGCAGGGTCTCTTTCCGTTCCCCCCCCCCGGTCGGCCACTGCATTGAAGATCGCGAGCTCCTCCCCCCCATCCGCCCCCTGGGCCGCCTAATCGGTGGTTCGTTTCCCAGGTTACAGCCGTAGTGTCTGCAGCTAGCCAGCCAGGCGTTGAAGGCTGCTGGGTCTGGCTGACCCTCCACGTCGTCCCCGCTCTGCTTGCGCGAGCGGGCGGAGGATTAGAGCGGCGCCCGACCCTCAAGGAGCGCCTCTGCAGGGGCTGTCAGCTGTTCTGCCTCCGCTGCTCCCCGCGAGGGCTTGCCGGACAGTGGGCGAGCCTGGCTGGCGCTTCCATGCCTGCCTCCTGCAGCGCCTGAAGCTGGGGGCGGGGGAAGAGGGAGGCAGGGAAGGAGGGAGGCTGGCTGGCTCTGGTACTGATGACCTTACCCAAAATATGCGGTCGGCAGGAAAGAAGAGTCGTGCTCGAAGCCTGCTTTCTTCAGCGAGAAAGGCTTCGTTTCACCTTCCTCTCTCACTTGAGGTGGTTCACCGAATAAGCAGCAAAAAAGTTAGGAGTCGTGGCATTCGCTTGTACTTGAAGATCATTTTGTAAACAGAATTTGCTGCTGATTCCTGGTTGGTTTATTTGGGGCTATCCATTTACCCATGTGGTGGCAGACGCACTTTTTTCTTTCCTTTGCAGTTTGCTGCTTAGCTATAGGGCTGCAGACTGGGGGGGGGGGGTTGCATAGTTGCACCACCATGCAGCTGCCTGCTGTGCCTGCAGCTAGAAACTATGTGGGACAAGACTTTCCCTCTTTGCCACTGACCCCTTTCCATTGCCTGAGGGGAGAACCGAAGTTGCTGCTGTCTTCCACGCCCAGTCAGCTTGCTCTGACACCCTTCCCCCACCCTGACTAAACTGCTCTTTGGCCTGCAGCAGCAGGAAAGAGTTTCCAAAAGGCAACTGGGTTTATTCATGGCCAGAGAAACATGAGTTCTAAGAAACTGGAGCAGTTGCAGACCCAAAGGCATCCTGGCATTTTGCCTTAGTTGAGGAAATTGGCAAGATTAAAAAGTGGACCAATAGATTTAAAAATGAACTTAATCCAAATTTGTTTCTTAACCGAGCCCCTGCTCACCACTCCAGGCAGGGCCTACCACCCATCAGCTCACATTCAGGATGCTTAGTCCTTCCCGTGCTGCTGTTGGTTACAGGCTACGTGCTCTGATCCTTGCTGGAGTTCACTGCTTTTTATAATTGACCGTTTGGAAATTTCCATCAGTGGGTGAAAGGACCTTACTGAAGCACTCTACTGCATTTCATGGCACCTCTTTTTGCCTTAAAGTTATGGAGAGCAGTGACCTTATAGATATTACGTGAAAGGGTCTGTCGAGTGGGCCTTATAAGTGTGTGTGGGGTGGGACTT